TCTAAGCCTATAGCAGCAGAACTATAGAGATAGCTCAGGATAACCTGAGCTAGAATGTATTTTTTTATCCGATTTCTCTCCCGATTTGCAGACGATCTCTTCAATGAAGATCTGTTTCCTAAAACGGACTCATCTGGTAAGGAACCATCCTTAGAACAGAACGGTCGTTATTCATTAACGATTAGACTTCAAATCTACACAATAAAAAAAATATATACATTCTGGAAATACAATGAAACTAGATTCAATAGAGACATAAAACTCAAAAAATATATACCTTTCTACACCACAGCATCTATAGGAGGATGAGGAGAGGATGTTTGTTGGGAAACAACCTAGAGCTGCATGTGATAGATACTGATCAGCTTCATCAGGGGTGATCAATTCCAGTTCCTGAGGGCCACTATCCTGCAACTATTTCCTGTTTTCTTCTAAATAAACCTTCAATATGTTTATGTTTTACATGACTATGAGACACGGCAGCAGTTTTTCTAATCTCACTCAGAACTGAGGAATGGTTTCCAGTTACAGATGGCCGCTGTCAGAGGAAAGCTCTGTGTTTCCACCTTGAAGCTTTCTGCCGTCGGTTTGTTTTCCAGTAAAGAGATCAATTAGGACAATCTCATTAAACAACACTTCATAATGTACAACCAGGAGACGTGACAACAGATTCTGATAGATATTCAGATCAGAGAAGTTGCTCAGAGTTACAGAAGGCAGCTGCTCACCAACCGGGCTCCCGTCTCCTGAAGCAGCCCTGACAAAAAAGCAGAGAAGCATTTAATACTTTAGTCTGCCACATCATCACATCATCATCAAACACCTTAGCAGATGAGAAGACATCCATGGTTCAAGCATTTACAGAATATTACACTTTGTTCTCAGTTGAAGGACGCCGCCTCATTCCATTCCCAAATCTTTGCCACGTACAGAATGAAGATTATAAGTCTATATCCGGACAGAGGAACTGGCCTGATTAGATTAACTACTGGGGAAAACATCAGTTCTGATATATATTAAGGTGTAATAAACTCACGCATCATCAATAATAATTATCCTAACTCAGCGCTCATATTACGTTCACACCAAACCTGATTTTAGCATCAAAATAGCGTCTGCTGCTTCATTTTTAAACTTGACCACATTAAGGTCAGACATAGACTCAAGTTTATTAATCCATTGGTTTTACTCCTTCAAGGAAATTCTGGTTCCAGTAGCTTATATAGAGAACAAAGAGTTAAAGCAAGATGCCATTAGAGATAAAAATACAACAGACAATATAAAAGAGTGTATATAGTACCAAAGTGCATAAGAAGACTTGTAAAGTCCTGGTAAAGTGTTTCCAG